TTCCCTGTTTCTCAGCCCTGGTGACATACATCTGGGTTCAGTGTCTAGCTCTGGGCTCTCCAGTTCAAAAGAGATGTAGACATACTGGAGAGAGTCCAGCAAAGGGCCACAAAGATGATGAACAATTAAAGCATCTGCCATATGAGGAGAGGCTGAGATCTGGGACTATTCAGCCTGAAGAAGACAAGGCTGAGGGGCAGTATAATTGATGTACAAATACCTGATAGGAGGTTGTAAAATAGATAGAGCAAAACTTTTCTCAGTGGTGCCCCATGAAAGGACAAGGGGCAATGAACACAAATTGATATACAGGAAATCCCACTTAAACTTAAGAAAAAGCTTCTTTACTGTGAGAGTGGTTAAACACTAGAATAGCTTGCCCAGAGAGGTTCTGGAGTCTCCATCCTTGCAGATAGTCATAACCTGACCAGACTCAGTCCTAGAAAAACTGCTCTATATGATCCTGCTCTAAGCAGGGGGGCAGACCAGATGATCTCCAGAGGTGCCTGTCAGCCTCAACTATCCTGTGATTCTGTGAAGGTGAAGGTTTAGCCAGCAGGCAGCACTCTTGTAAGACCTGTACAAGTGGCAAAACTCTCCACCGCACAGTAGGACAATGCAGCCTTTTCCACGTCAATGTGCACCTCTCAAACAAAGCAGAAACCTATAGTGTTTTCTAGCTGGCTGCCTATGGAATCACATGCCCCATCACTTACTTTGGCTTAGCATTCAGATCCCGAATGCTCCACTTACATTTCAGAGAAATTAAAAATGTATATAGAAGGAACACTGCTTGTGAAAGATTATAGCTGGCTTTGCTTCACAAGTTCTCCACTAGCAACAGGAAGTAGGCCTGGCTTGTAACTCTAGTGCTGCCATACAAAAAGGCCTGTCCACAATTAAGATAAAATCCTTGCTGAACCTAGTGGAATGCTGCTGGCATAACTACATCTCTCTTCCCATACTTTCCTCTAATTCCCTCAAACAGACTTATTTTGGCTTGAAACTTTCCATGTTTGCACTTTGGCCAGAAGCAAAGCTTTTGGGATAGTTTCAGCAAAATCTGTTATTTTTTAGCTCTCCACTTTTGTGCAAGCTTAAATTACTTCCAAACAAAAATAGTTCCAGAAGTGAGCTCTGACTGAGAAACATTTTCAACAGAATATAGGGGGAGTTTGTCTGATCTGTTAAAATGTAGTAAAAGCATAAAATACGCTGGATCTAATGATCAAATCTATTACAGTCCAAATTACAACATGTAATTCCATGTAAGAAATCAACATATATAGCCATGCAGCTGTATTAAGACCTGGAAAGAGATAGGTGCTTTTTTTGCACAATGTATTACACATCTCTAAACCACATCAATCCACTTGGAATATAAAATAAATCATCAATCTTTTCTGATTTTCCCCCATTTAAAATAAAACTACAAAGAGTAGTTTAAAAAACTAGAGGGGGTATTTGTAATACTGCATCACCCACAAACCATGACCTTGTTTGGATATTACTGATGATAAAAGTGTTTTTTCAATGGTGTTTGGTTAATGGAAAAAATTGAACTTCCCTTACAAAAAGCCTAGCCCTTTTAAAAATAAAAACACAAGGTGAAAAAATCTGGAAAGAAACAATTAAAAGTCTTTTCTCCCTTCTAACACAGACACCCCTTGATATCATACTACTATTTTAACACAACCTTGTCCTGCAGTTTATCAGCCACTGCTGGGAGATACTTTTTTCAATGGTGGCCAGAAGAGGGAAATACACAATGCAGTGATGATTCAGTTGCACTCCTATAGCCTTTCTTTTTCTCTTCCTCTACAGCTCATTCTAACCTGTCTTGTGCGAGCACTTTCCTGGGACCCTTTTCCAGTAATTAACAACAGTACAGTAGTCAAGCAATGCTCAAAACTGAACACAAGACATTTGTTCATCTTCACTGCTTGGTGGCATAAAAATAAATCTTCCACATAATTATCTGTCGCATACAGAAATCTGGATAAGCAAAAGGCTAAATAAGCTTGCTGGAAAACAATAAAAGCCTGCATTCATATTTGTAATGTGCACTCATTAAAACCTCAGAACTGTGTAGAAATTGATCTGTTTTCTCCATTATATCCTGTGATTTTACTTCTCATTTAGACAATTAATATGAAACAAATTGTGTTGGTTTTGGCTGGGATAGAGTTAATTTTCTTGCTAGTAGCTAGTATGGGACTATGTTTTGGACATGTGCTGAAAATAGTGTTGATAATGCCAAGATGTTTTCGTTTCTGCTGAGCAGTGCTTACACAGAGTCAAGGCCTTTTCTTCTTCTCACACCACCCCACCAGCAAGTAGGCTGGGGGTACACAAGAAGTTGGGAGTGGACACAGCTGGGACCGCTGACCCCAACTGACCAAATGGATATTCCATACCATAAGACATCATGCTCAGCAATAAAAAGCTAGGGGAAAAAGAAAGAAGGGGGGATGTTCAGAGTGATGGCATTTGTCTTCCCAAGTAACTGTTATGCATGATGGAGCCCTGCTTTCCTGGAGATGGCTGAACACCTACCTGCCAATGGGAAGTGGTGAATGAGTTCGTTGTTTTCCTTTGCTTGCGTGCACAGCTTTTGCTTTACCTATTATCTCAGCCACAAGTTTTATCACTTTTACCCTTCTGATTCTCTCCCCCATCCCACTGTGAGGGAGGTGAGTGAGCGGCTGCATGGTGCTTAATTGCTGGCTGGGGTTAAACCATGACACAAATAAAAAGAAACCCCCATGCAGTCAAACAAGGGAATAATGAGGAATTGTGCTGCTAGAAGTGGGAGGCTGGCACTGCTATTTATTTTGAGCACAGCTATTTGCAAGAGCAGATGAGAACAGAGGTTGGACTGGTATCAAAGCCAGAGTGTAATTAGAGAGATTTTCGAAGTCGATCTTGAATCCCCAGAGAAGACAGGGAACCTGTCTGGATTCAAAAGTATGATGGAAAAGAAGGAGAAGAGCACGCCTGGTGCTTGGAGATCAAGCCATGTGCACAGAAGCCACAGATCAAGGGTATTCATACAGGCCCAAGGCTCCAGGCAATTCTGCAGTGCAACACTGTTGGGAGAATCCTAACCCTGCTCTACTGGAAGAGGCAATTAGGAGACAAAGAAGGGGGCAACTAGGAAAAGGACAATAATAAGAAGGAGGAAAACAAGAATCCAGAAAACCTGGGAAGGATTTCAGTACTGTCATGAAGGTTGAGAACAAGAGAGATTGTGAAGGGCAGGGATCTCTCCTGCTCCTGCAGTGATTCTGGGCTCTGGGACAGAGCTGTGCACACTAATGACAATGAAGACAGTGTGGGGCAGAAAAGTGGGAAGAGAAGAAAATTGATGGGAGAGGAGACAAATGACACAAAAGCATTTTAAACACATGTGATTTGTCCAATGCAGCTGTCCAATGGGATGCAGGGTGTGTGCACAAGGAGGAGAAGAGGCTCTCCTCTCTCAAAGGATCCTGCTCCTGGGACAGGGCAGACTCAAAGTGACACTTGCACCTGCATCTGTCCATTTGCGTGGGCTGCTCATCACTCAGTTGTGACCCAGTTACTGGAGCCCCAACATCTGTGACTAGCCTCCTGACGGAAGACTAGCTACCTGCAACTGACGCAGCTGGCACTGAGGACTCACATATGCACTGGTCAGGAACATCAGTCCGGCAGGGACAAGGGTGATCAGAACAACAACAGCAGTGGAGTACAGCAAAGCCCTGATCTTAGCTTAGAGACAGACAGACAGGACCAGTATCTACATAACCTACACTGGCTTCACTGTCCTTCATGACAGGGAGTTGCACAGAGCAGTGATACTGCAGGAAGATAACACCTTACAATCTTCTCACATGCCTGAACAGACATTATCAGCCACCTTTCATTACCTTTCTGCCCTCACACACAGGACCCTTGTTATGATAAGTTTGTAACCACAACTCCCTGCTGCAAGTGAGGAGATTCTCACAGACTTCGAATACCAATGCTTTTAGAGTTTAAGTAAATATTTTCCTTGCCTTGACTAGATCTTCCATCATCACTAAAGCAGTAACCACTGAGACTGGAAAACATCACATGGATCCTGACACCAGTTTCAGCTCTCCCCCTTCCCAAGGCCCATATGGTTTATGGTGGTGGGGATGCAATACTTCTCTGGGAATCAACACCTGTCTTTTCAAACACCAGTCCTCACTTATTCCTTTCCCTGGAGCTAGAACAAAGGATGGGAGTCATGGCAAACCAATCCTGTTTACATCCTTGATCCAGCTCTAGTCTGAAGTGTGGGTGTTAACCTCACTGAGTTTGATGAGCTGCTTGATGTGCCTATAGATTCCTGCTGGCTACTGAGGGGCAGAAAATGGAGTAGGTTTTCCCCAGCTGGGCCCAATACTCTGCTCTAAAATAGTGGCAGACACAATTTCCTAGTGGTTGTGGAAGCACAGTGAAAGAGGGAAGGTGCTGCAACAGGAATAGAAAGGTGAAAGTGTGCCTTCCTCTCCCTTTGCATTTATTGAACCCCTTAGATTCACACAATTTGGCATATTATTCTTTTGGATGCGTTCTTGAAAGGTTTATTCAAGCACTGGTGCAACCTGTGACTTGCTACGTTTCATCTCAGCTCCCTATTTCTCCCATCTTTCTGTCTTGGTTGGCCACACCACAAACACGTATGTCTAAGAACTGTGCCTTTTGTGTATGCACTGTAGTTGGTTCAGTATCTTTGGCTATGCATATAACAAATAAGTCTGTAACTAATAAATATTGCAATCAATGCATACACTGTGAGCTTTTTGCATACTGAAGAAAAACAGTCTCGTACACTGAAAAAGTCTTCCTACATGAGGGCAAAGCTGTGTTCTGTGTCCACCATGGTAAAAAGTTTAAAGAAGAGGCAGTACTGAGGCAAACATTTGTAAAAAGCTTCTAATGGCCATGGGAAGAATGTGTTCAGGTTGTAGAACACCTCAATCACATACCAGCTCCAAATGCAAAGAAGAAACTCTTGTCTGGGTACTCTTCCAGCAGGTCCTTCACCCTCCTGCCCATTCGCTCATTTCGCTTGTAGATGAGCTCCTGACGGAAGTAGCTGTCTATCTCTTGGGCAGTAATGCGTTCATGGGCTGGAAGTGTAGCATTAATGAAATTTGGGACCTAAGGTAGGAAAAAAAAATGTCTTCATGAAAGGGGCATTTATTTCACAGGCAGCCATCATGCACAGGCATTTTGCTCCATCACTGAATGTGGCAATTGCCTTTGCCCCTCAAGGCACATCCAGTATGACAAAACCCAAAGAAAGCTAAAAAATTACTCAGCAAACTTCAAATATGCATAGTGCTTCTTTCCTCTCAACATATAATTCATAAGCCAGCCAGCTGAATTTTTTTTGGTGCAAAGTCAACAAATACTCTCAGTTTGCCACATGGTAGATCCCAAATCCTGATTGCTCAGCTGAAGAAAGTAAATGTTTGTCCCTGGCTATCTTTAGCTACATACGTCTTCCATAAGTTGCGATAGGTATGACATAACTATAATGATAATTGCACTCTTCTAAGAGAGTTTGACACAGGCTGTCAAAGAATAACTGCAATTTGAACTAGTTAACAAAAACTTCCCCAAAGTTTCCAGAAGAAAGAGGGCCAGATTTTGTCACGACAGAAAGTATTACCACCTCCAATTCCCCTGTCCGCAAAGTATCTTTTAAAATACTGGCTTCCTCCCCTGGGGCGCCCAGGACAGCTGTGGCTGCACGTTACCCTAAGCTCTTGCTACTGGAAGGAAACGTGAGTCTGGAGTTGCAGCCATCCTGGTTTCTTGACAAGTATCTTTGGGCATTGCAGCTATGGGGACTGCTAAGGAAAGGGCCTACAAGCAGTGGTTTCTGGGGAGCAGAGCCACTACACCAAGTGCTTTCCCTTGCAAGGCTGCAGCAGCTGAAGAGGCTCTGGAGCTACTCAGAAACTATTACTGCCTGTTTCCAAAGCGTTCTTAGCCCACAGTGGGTCATCTACTGGGCAAGTATGGGGTCAAATATAATTTACAGAGAAGCTCTGCTTAAAAACATAAGCTGATAGTGTTGCAGACTATTACTACTCAGCTCTGTTGTGAGGGAGAGCACTCTGCAGTGGAGTTCCTCATGTGAGTAAAGGGCAGTTGCTCCCTCAGAGACATGCAAGTCTCAGCAAGAGCTGCTCTCTCCAAGGACCTTAAAGCAATGCCAGCTGTCTGCAGTCTGTAACACCTCAGCAGAATAGTGATGCAGCATCTGTATGCTCTTATAGTGCTGGCGTCTTTTGAGAAGCCCTTTGAAATCTACAAATGAAGTGCACTGTGTAGGAGCTAAGCAGTGTTAATGACCAGGTTGCCTGCATGTGCAGGCTGAGGGGTGTGCAGGACGGGAAGGTAACAACACGCACGCAAAGCTCAGTGCCGAAGAAGCAAGGGTTAGTACAACAGTATTCCCAGCTCTGCAGCACTGCACCATATATATCAAAAGGCCATAGGAAAATGGTTATTCAGCAGGGAAAGCTCAGGTACCAACACCCACTTGTTAGGCTTTAGCCTCACAGTGCTGATGTTTTCATTGATGTGCATGAATTGCCAGGCAGTACCCCACGGACAAGAATAGAGAGGCCTGATGTCTCAGTCTGAGGTTAGCTAATCTAACAGCCCAAACAGGCCAAATTGGTCCCTGCTGGGCATTTTCCGTGGTTTAAAGATCAGAGCATTGCATTCCGCTGTGCTGCTTAGGAAACCGTCTCCATAAACCAAGTCTGTGAGGCCTCAGAAGGTTTTCTTTTCCTTAACATTCAGTCTAAATCTATCTTTTCTTTGTTTCACTCAATTTCTCTTCTTTAGGCCTTGACCACAGTACACAATCATAGTGATAGGGGAGATTAAAAAGCTTGCAACTTGCCCAGCCTTACACAAGCGTCCAAGTCACGAGTGCATTTCTCTGTCACTACTTGGACAAAAGAGCCTGCTGCTGCTCTCTGTTGGTGCTAAGGTCACTCATACCTAAGCTAGCGTAATTCCACAGGATCCTTAAGAAAATAAAGGATTAAGTCATAGAGCTTTGACGCTAAAGCAAACACGGCACTCGACCAAAAGCAAAAGCCGGGTGTGCCTTTGCTGCTTGCATGCAGCAAGGCAGGGGTAAGGTGGTGCAGACTCCTGGGACAGGAGGCGCAGGAAAGCAGATGCACCAGAAAGCCAGCAACGTGCCCTTGGCCCTCACCTGCAAAGGGCCTACCTGAGGAGAGACAAGTGTGAGTGAGACAGGGATTAGCGCTACAGGGACATGTGCGTAGTAAAGGGCTGCAGTGGCAAGACTCACTTGAGAAGTGTCATGGTTGAAGATGATGGAGCTGAGGTCCCCACAGTTGTAATGCTTGATAAGGTCTTCTGTCGTATAGGGGATCTGGAAACTGCCTGCTCGGAGGCTCTCCTGCTGGAAGAGAGTCTGATTCAAAGCAAAGACCACCTGAGGGAGGGGGAGAGGGAGGAAAAGACAGAGTTCCTGGTGAGTTCTCGTCTCGCCCCTTGAGAAGGTCACAGACAAATAATTGCCTGCCAAGGGCTCTCTGAAGCTGCTCCCGCTCCAAGCACGCCAGTCCACATGTTGCCAACCCGCGCCTCTGCCAGGTCTGCAGATACTCACACCTCAGGTCCCACGGGCCTGCTCATAGGGAACTGACTCACCACACATAACTCCAGGAGGTTTTGCCCCTGATGTGATTAATACAGAAGATACAAAGGGGCAGACTGAAACAGGGGCAATCTTGCTCCCCTAGACGACAGTTTGCCTGACCACCACAGAGCCATAGGGCCTGACGGGCTCCTATCCCCACAGCTCCTCAGCCACCTACCTAACTAAATTAAGCACGGCTTATTTTGCCCTTTCTTCCTCACCCACAAAGAATATTAATGCTGTCATCTCCTGCTTTGTGTCTCCTTCTCCCACACACCCAGCTAATTTCAGGCAGGAATGGCTCCCTGGAGCAGGACAGGGAAGCATGGCAGCTGCCAGGGGAGATAGGCAGCCACCCTCCCTGCAGGGGAAGTCTGAGGGCAGCAGCCCCGCAGCTGCCCAGCACTCTCCCCTACTGACCGCCTCCGCAGGCACAGGGGCTGCCACTGCCCGTGCCTCCTCTCCTCCTCGACCTTCACCTGGGAATGCAAACAGTCCCATTCCTTTTGCCTCAAGCTGAACCAGTGTGGCTGCCACAGCTCCTACCCCCAGGGAGCCTCTCCCTTGACCAGAAAGGAAGAAGATCAGCAGAGGTGTCCTCCAGGTGTTGCTGCTTCCCCACCTCAAGCACAGCATGGCTCTCCAGGGTGGCGGCCTCAGGACCTGACCCAGAGAGAGCTGCAGCTCCAGCTGCCTCCTGCCTGGGGCAATGAACACCCACCCCATGAGGATGACTGCCACTTAAAAGGCACAGGAAAGCCATTTGGAGCAACAGTTGACAGGGGCCTCTGGAGCCAAACAGACAATGCAGCACCTCTGTACCTCTCCCTCACCGCTCCAGCAGCTGCAGCAGGCAGCCACCAAGCCCCAGAAAGGCAGGCAGCTAAGGAAGCAATTGGGGCAAAATCCCCCCAGGCTGAGCATGGGATGCAGTGGGCACGCTGGTGGGGCATGGAGCTGGCTACTCGCCTGTGCAGACAGCAGCTCTCAGTCAGCATGTGGCAAGTAAATCACTACCATCTCTCCTGAACACACACTCAAGCTACCACTGGTTTGCACAGCAAGACTAGACAACTGCAACATGCCTTCCTACTACCTACTGGCTTGGGTTTTTTATTTCTAAAAGCAGTAAGCCATGAGATATTGCTGAGGTCTTGAAACACATTTCAAAAGTTACTCCAGGGAGGGTTATTTTCCAAGCTCTAGTGACTCTGCAGCCTGATGAGGGCTCTGTGTAATTAACTCCTCCTGGATATTTGCCTTGAACACCATTAAAAGCACTCTGGAACTGGAGGTATTCACCAACACCATGAAACTCACACATGAATAAGCATACTCTTAATGTACAGAGATTATGTGAACCAAATCTTGGGATTACACGACAGGGCAGATGTGGGAACAAACAGGTGCAATGTGCCGTCCTCCAGCACACCAATCTGTCTCCTGCTGAAAGGTGCAGGTCCCACTAAACTTGAAATCACACCGTCCCCACTACAGCTAGAGCTACCTGTCTGGATCCAGACCACTGTGTATTTAACCAAATATGAAAGCACATAACTTAGCATTAGTTTTGGAAGGGTGTTTATGAATAGAAACATTCACTGCCATCTCATGTTTTTTTAAAAGGGCAAGAATTCACTTTGTTGGTACTAACTACACCGGATTAGAAGAATACCTTCAGGTAGACACTCAGGACAGTTACATCAAACGAACCAATGGCCATCTTGCAAAGGAACTCTGTTTAATTTGGAAGTAAATTGAACAAAAACAAATTGAAACTACTTTATGTCTGAACAAAAGTTTGCATGCAGGCTGGGGTTTATTGCACTCCAAAGCCATTGTTTTCCATTTGTTTGGCTTCACTTCCGACACAGAGAAGCACTAATGGATGTTAACGACCAGACAAGATTCACTGAGAGACAAGCCAAATCCATGCTGAAAATGTGGGATTTCTACTGCCAGGACTGATAGGTTATGCCAGGAAATTCTCGTATGTACAATCAATCCAGTCAAAAGCACTTCCATGGGAATGGATTATTTTGTAAGTTGACTACCATATCGGCATCCACTTGGACAATTTACCATTACAGCAATATGGCCCTTTCTAGACTCTGCAGCCTCTGAAACAATGACCAGCAGTCCCTGTCCACAGAGCAGGAATAAGACTTGCGATGGTCTCCTGAGCTGGTCAGGTAGCTCTGACTCAATGTAGAATAAACACATAAAAGAGGCTTTGCAATTTTTACCATTTGATTTTCATCCAAAGACAAACCAGCGGAGGGTAACCGGCTTCTGTGGAGAAAACACCAGCCTGCTGGGTGAGACGTGTTAACAAAGCACATCTTCCTCTTTCTGCTGTACTCCCACAGCCTGCACTCCTGCTGTCACTTGCTCTGCATGCTACCCTCTACTCCATGCACATCTCTTCCCTCCTCCCTTGCTTCAGGTGAAACAGATCCAGTCTCTCCTCCAAACAGATTCTGGCCTGGACCATAGCAGCAGGGTCAAGCCACACAGGCATCTTCCTTCCTTGTGCCCACCCACTGGCCATGAGAAACTAGCACACAGTAAACTGCAAACAGCTAAATAAATCTATCTCAAGAGCATGGTTTAAAACCACAATGACTACCTGCATTTATGGAGGATTACCACACATGTTTACACAGAAATACAGGCAACTCACGCCCTGCCCCCTCATATCTTTAACCTCACTGCTGGCATGACACAAAGCTGTCCCCATGAGGAAGCTTTAGCAGCTGTCTGGTCTTTGCTGAGAGTACATCTTTCTGGTGTGGAGGTGGGAGAATTGATATGGGACATGTGAAGAAATCTCAGGATGGCAGCAGCTGAAGGACTTGCCTGCCCAGCTGTGGAAGCACAAGACCTTTCACAATGAGGTGGTTCATGTTTCACTGCAAAAAACAGTCTGCAGGTTCACTGCCCAAGACTCATATACCCCATCCCAACCACAGCTGCCTGGGGACGGAGCATCCAGCAGGCTGCCATGGACCCCATAGCCCAGACAGTGGGCACTGCATGGGCTGTTTTCTTTTGGCACGGACTACAGAGGGCTGTTCCCTGCCAGGTCAGACTTCCCCATGAGCAATGTCTTTCCCGATTTGGATCTAGACCTGCACCCTATCACTGTGCATAGCACCTGAGAGAGAAGTCACACAAGAACCACCTGAAGCCCACCCAGAGAGGAGACTTTCACCTTGGCATTGTGAGTGACACAAGTTTTCTCAGCTCCTTTGATAACAGCAGCAGCAGCTCAAGTCTCTTTGCACCATTCTCAACCACAGCCGAAGCACTGGGAGCAAGAAAAGTCAAGATATGACAAATGGGCAGAAATCAAAAAAGCATCAATGACCTTGACGATTAGCGCTCTCTAATGAGTTACAGTAACTCATGTTATTGGGCTTTGCACAGCTGGAGGGCAGGAGATGCTGTTGCCAAAAATACTCTCCACATCAGCTGGTCTGAACAGAATGGTGGCATCTGCTGGAAGGGGATCATGGCACACCTAATGAACAACTACACAGCATTATGATTTGGCATCGATGTGCGTGTAGAGCCTGTCAAACGAACATGATAGCTTCTCTCCATTTCTGTATCTCTTGTACGTTCTTAGGGGAACTGTAACTCCCCAGCAGAAACAGAAGGGGTGTGGGGGTAAAAAGCTGTTTGCAGTACCAGGTGTTGCCTAAAGCTATGCCCTGGTAAGAAGGTTATCTTCAGTAAATAGTAATGGATAAACACTGTCAGGATCTCAAGAGCAGGATGACTCCTGAACCTACTGTTCTTAAAGGATTTCATTTGCTGAGGTGGGTCTTGCTCAGAGGTTGATAACTTATCTGTCATTATTTCTCAAAGAAAACATTAGACTAGGTGCAAAGTGATATTTAAGAAAGACCACAGCCATCAGACTCTGCAGACTGGATCCCAGTCTTGTTTACCAGATGTGAAAAGCTGAAGAAAGTCAACAGAGCATGAGAAGCAGGGACCAGATCAGCAGTTAATCTGCAGCTGCTATATTTGCTTGGCACTAATACTGCTTGCCTTCCTAGCTCCCCATTCAGTCCTGCAGTCCTTTCGTTTCTAGTAAGTCCATGGAGTTAAGAAGATCACAGAAAAGAAGGAAGGGTTGATGAGAAATTATCAGTTTTGCTTAGAAATCAAAATCAAGAATTTGTGCTGAGCTTCTCCAACAGGTGGTACAGAAAGTATGCATCTGTCTTCCAGGTATCTCTTGCACTGCACTCTTTTACTAATTCCAAAATCTTTCCTACGTTGGAATCCACAGAAATCACTCCACATTCATCCTCCTTGCAAAACTGTTCTTCCTTAGCTCACACCTCCCTGCCCCCGCCCCTCCCCCCCAGCAACTCTACCCTACTCTGCTCCATTAAGTGTATTCATACTAGCATCAAAGCATCTCCTGAAAAGATGTATTCGGAGAACAAAAGTAACAAGTTTATTAGAAAGGGATTTTTTTCCTCCCACCTCCTATTTCCACTGTGATCTCTCTGTCTTCCCCCAACCCTCTCCCTTTTTGTACTGTGGAAAAAATCGATTAAGCTCTCTGGTATACATATTGCTGCAAGCCTCATTCTCCTCCTGGAGATTTCTTCAGCTGTCAGGAGACACTTGTCCCCTTTGCTAGCATTGTTGGAGTGGCCTGCTAGGCTGAGGGGGTAGGGAAAAGGGGGTTAGAGCCCGGCAGATGCCTTTTTTGTCAAAGACAAAAGACCCCCTGCCATCCTCTCCACTTTTCAGCACTTTCATCCACATTG